GTTCCGGGAAATGTGTGGCCAATCAACTTGCAGCTATTTCATAAAGGCTACAAGTTGATCGACTACGCATTTCTCAAAGCTAGAACTTGGACCAAGTTCTGGCATCGTGGACACAGGGTTTTGTAGAAGTGAATGAAAGTTGTTCCGAATACAAAGAAATTGCTGTTGCATTCGAAAAAGAGCCTCAGTAATCGGCGACATAAGAGCGAGAGTTCTTTTTGTACTCCTAGGAATGTTTTTAGAAACGGAAGTGGATTGGAAAAAGAATTCATTTCATACTTTGGGAATTCGAGAAGAGTTTTAACATAATATTTATTTCAGATTGCAGAATGTATCCTGGATGTGGCGAAAGAGAAGGATGCGCAGTTACATTCGACGTGGGAATCGGCAAGGTAGGATGACATGTTCAAGCTTGATACAATGTAACTTTATTAGCATGAATACGGCGATGTAGGCGCAGCGACAGGTGTACGAAATGGAGCGACACTGGACAGTAGGAAGTTACAACTGAGACCAGTGCAGTTTCGGCAGGTTTAATTCCCGGCGCCACTTGTGCAAAGAAAGAAACGTTTTATTCGCGAGTGAGCTTGAGGCCCGCAATAGGCGACGAACGAATACGAACATTATCGGTTCTCGATAGAGATCGACGACGAGACTCTAAGTCGATATCATTGATTTTATTTTCTTACGAAATAATCCGGCAGAACATAATGATAAACACGTCGATACGTATAGTAGGTAATATGCATAGTCGACCCTCGAATTCAACTCGTTATTCGACCAATAATCGCGTCTTCAGGTTTTCCAATATTTCGGCCATCCTGTTCTCTAGGTCGTTCCGTCTTTGCATCTCTTCTCTTTTCTCCTGTAACATACGCACAGAGGAAGAATACTTTCATGTATAAGCAAGAGTTGAGCGACGTAAAATATCTTCTATCTTGTTAGAAACCCATTCCATTCGATTCTTAGTTTTTAACAAATATTTAATTTCAGACACGCTCGCACACGTGCCATACTTTTATCTCGATTTGAAAGAATTTAAAGTGAAGTAACTAAATTGCAGGTTCGATTTATATCATGCAGAAATATATTGAGAAGCATTTCTGAAGTAAAACACAATTGTTTCTGCTTACGTCAAAACGTCTAAAGTCCTATGGTTTATATTATAAATAATTTGGCCTAAAATGAATAGAGTATTTAAATTGAACAATCTTTTCCATTTTTTCTTATGAGAAAGACATTTTCTTGATTGCACGTATTGGTGTGCGTGATTTTACGTATTTCACACCTGGCCTGCACAGACTATTAATATTATTATCGATAATCTATTAGTTTTCTTTTCTATATTACGTCTTACGTATTTCGTTCTTACACTGTAAAAAAATATGTAAAATTACATGCAAAATAAGTGTAGCGATTACACTATTAATTAACGAAAATGTATAAATTTGCGTACTTTTACAAAAATTGTTTTTTTTATTCTTTGTTACAAGAAAATTGTAAAATTTACAATATTAAAAGCAAGCGGTTTACTTTTTATATAAGGTAATAATTTTACCTACAAGGTGTAAATTTACCGACGTATGTAAATATACACCTTTAAGAGATGGTCCCAATATTAGATAATTGTAATTTTACATGTAATTTTACAGTGTACACAAGAGAACCGTTAAAATTAAACTTGAGTACAGCTCGAGAACGTCAGCAGCGGATGCTACGTAAAACAACGTGACGAATTTCTCGTGCCGCGAAGTAGGTCTCATTAGTTGCGCGAATGAACAAAATAACAACGCTTCGCCGCACACTAATAATGTACTTGAATTCTACGTAACGTTACAATCAGAGATTGCGTATAAAGTCCACGTAGTGGATCGGCCCGTTCGGCTTTAATTGCCGGCGTTCCGACACTCTCAAGGTCGCCACTTTGTTCCGGTACTCTCTGACTTTGGCTTTCTCCGTATCATTTTCCGGTTCATCGGCGTGTTTCACGATACTTTCGTCATCGTGGTGATAAGCGGCCGGTTCCGGTGCGACGAACACGTCCGATTCCCCCGCAGTTTTGCCGTTCTCCTCGGCAACTTTCGTTGCGTCGCCGCTTTCGCTTCCGAAGCTATAATCGTCCTTGCTGAAGCCGAAGAAATCGTGCGCGCTCTGGGGATCGTCGAACGGTTTGCTCTCCGGGATCGGAGGAGGGTCCGTCTCCTCGAGTCGCGGAGTCTTTGCCTCTTCCTTGTCCTCGCGCCGGTCCTCTTTCGCCGGCGGGCTCTTTTGTCTTCTCAGCCGCGAGTGACGCGGCCTTTCCGGCGGTCCGTTTTGCGTCCTCTGACTCGAAGGCTTGATATTTTGTAACTGTGCGAAGACTGGTCGAGGAGACTGCACCTCGGCCGTATTGCCCGGCGACTGCGGTCGGTATATTCGGTTCGACCAGTTTTCCGCGTTAGGGATTTGACTTCTCACCTCAATACTGATCGGATCCTCGACCTGAGCGGTGCGTTCTCCATGAATATATTTATAACGATCGAGATCGTTCGCTGGAACCTTCTGAGACTGATAGTAATAGTCGCGGGGTGTATTCGTGGTCCCATTCCGATTGTACTCGGTGCTATTAGGTCTCGCTTGGACGATCTGCTGATTGGCGCTCTGCTGGGCGACGTAGACTTGGTCTAGCGGACGCGTAACCTCGGCGCTCGGACGGGGAACTTGACTCCGCGGGTTTATCGCTTCGTTCGGGAAGTAGTAAATGTTATAGGGATGTCGGTACGGATACTCCGGATTACCAACGACCACGAGGTAACCGGAAGGCTGTTCCGAGGACTTGTCACGCGCGTCTTGCGCCGCGACTCCCTTCACGACGTGCTGGTAATATTTCGGGGCGTAGTTCTGCGGATAATAGTCTGGCGGGACGACGCTGTTCGCCGGCTCCGTAGTGTCGAAGGCGTAGTCGAAAGGCGGCGGCCACACCTGCAGCTCTTTGTGCTCGCCCTCGTGCAATTGCCGTGGCCTTTCGGGCAAGCCGATCTGCGGAACCAGGCTCTCCACGAGGACCGTCCGCGTGGGAGCCGCGTTATCCTCGCTCAGCCGGCCGTCCGTCGATTCGTCCGCCTCTTTGTAGTTGAGCTGCCGCGTGGTCGCTTGCTGCACCCTGTCGTTCGCGTCGATGTAGCGCACGGGCACGACCAGAGGCATGTATCTCGCGAAATCGTCCTCTTCCCGCGACCTGGCGTTCTCCTGCAGTCTTTCGTCGCGACTCGGCCCGCTCGGTCTTCGTCCCCTCTCGTCCTCCTTGTCACGGAGACGTCCCGGTCTAGGTGTCCGCGATCCCGTCGTCGTGCGATTTTGGACTCCGCCGCTCTGCCTGTCGCTTCTGTCCTCTTCGCTCTCGGCATTCAGGTCGTATTCCTCGTACTTGTTCTCCGGCAGGGCGTATTCATCCCTGAGCTTTTGCAGCCTGGCCAAGTGCTCGTCGTAACCGTCGTCCTCGGCGGACGTCTCTCCGCCGCCGATTTCCTCCCTCGACGCGTCCTCGGGCCGGGCTCTCTGCGAATCGTCCGCTTCAACGTACGGATGCTTGAACATACTTATGTAAGCGGCGATTCTGTCGTCCTCCAGTTTCTTATTGTCCAGCACCTCGCCGTAACTGTCGCGGATCACTTCGGGGTTATTCTCGTGAAAGTAGTCGCCGATAGGCAGCTGCCGATTGTATCCCCCTTCCACGTACTTGTTCAAATCTCCCGGTCGCTTGTATCCGTTGAACTGTCTGTTAGAATCGTCGTCGTAGCTCGGATACTCCTCGCTCTGCCCCTTCGCCTCCTTCGACGGTTCCTTCGAGGACTCGCCCGAGAGATTTTCCTGGCTGGCGTACTCCTCGTATCTTTCCGCGGAGCCTTCGTCCTCCTCGTCGTCACGCGCCGGTTTCCTCTCTTCCGTTGACTCGTGCTTGGAAGAAGCTTGGTCACGATTTCTGCCGGCGATCTCCTTCTCGCGGTTCCTGTGTCTCTCCTTCATTTCCTCCTCGTTGTAGCGAGCGCCTTTGTCGCGATTCCTTTCCTCCTCCTGCTGCTCCAGCTTTTTGACGCGCTCTTCTTGCTTGCGCAGCAGCTCGTTGCGCCGGTCGTTCTGCTGCTTGTCCCGGCTAGGCTCGTCGACGTACAATTGATGAGTGTACTTGCCCATCGGTTTCCTCACGTCCTTCTCGTCATAGATGTCTTTCTCCTCCACCGTGTATCGTTCTGTGTCCTCGTTACTCCTGTATACCATCTCTTGCTCCTTTCGAACCGGTGCCTCCGTACTCTCGCTCGAGCCGCTCATGGAAACCGGCGCGGATAGATGTGACAGCCCGAGTTCCTCGAGGGACATAGTAGCCGGTAGAAGCTCGGGCGCGATCGGCAACGGGATCTTGACGAAGAACGGCGCCAGCAGAGGCGGTCTCGTCGGCGAGCTCGTCCTCGGGTCCACCGGGACCTTCGCGGGCGGCATCGAGGGCCGCGCTGTCGTCGTCGCGTTACCTCGACGGCCGTGAAAGATCTGCTCGTATTGCCGAAGGTGTCCCAGAATGTCGGAATTATTGCCGAGGTTCAGCACGCCGGTGAACCTGATGGTTTCCTGCTGCCTCGGCACCGTGGCGTTCTTGGGCTGGGAAGACGCGGTCTGCTGCCTCACGTCGACCGCCTTGGACGCGGCGGGCGCCGTGACGTTCGGGTTTGGCAGCGAGGCGAACTGAATCGGCGTCACCGTGTAACCGAAAATCTGGGCCAGGCCCGACAGCAGGAGGCCGAGAGCTCTCTTGTCGCGAGGGGTCTCTGTGGCCTGTCCGTCGACCCCATCGGCCTCCCGGGGTATAGGGATTCTCAGTAGATCGTCGACGTGCGCCAGGGCCCCGAACTCTGCGCTTTCCTCCGACTGCACCTCGGACGCGCGCGCGACGCACAGTAAATATAGGACGAATATTTTAGCACGCAATCCCATCGTGGAAGACACCTCTAGTGGACGCTCGGAGACGATCGCATGTCGCACGGTGGATCGAGCTACGTGTTCAGTTTTAACTTTGTTGAACGCGCTTCCGTTACAACAAGACTTTTATCCGACAAAATTGCACATTCTGTTTTAGTGTCTAACGTCACACGAATCACTATCGTAGTATTTTCATTAGGAAATGAGCAATAGGCTACATAGGCAGGTGACTTAGAGCTGGTAGAAAATATTATCGCGATATCGTAGCCGGAACGCGCTAAACCTTCGTGTCCCAGAACCCCGCGAGGACTGCCGGCCGATTGCGGCGACGTGGCTGTCGTTAAACAATGATTTGACGGGCGGGGATAAATTTTTGCATAATATCGGAAAGAAATGTCGAGTTTCTCTTGAATTGCACGGGCCCACTCGTTGATTTGCGACAACTGAAGCGGTACGACGCAATGCGGGAACGAGCGCGCGAATTGGTGTGTCGCCGCTAAAGAAGCGGGCGCAAGAACAATTAGGCGCGCTCATGCGACTCTGGATAAATTCCCCCGTGGTTTAATTGCACGCTCAAAGGTGTGATACGCCTGTCGCAATATTCCACAATTTTCAGAAGAACCGTAGAGCTACGCTGGACTCGTAGCTTTTTGTCGTTGGCGGTAATTGGGCTTTGTTGGAAATAGAAAAATGGGGAGATTATCAAATAATCGAATTATTATTCTGTATGTTCGTTCTAACAATGGTGCGCTAATTGTGCACTATTCTGGTATTTTTAACGCTACAGAGAAATACTTAAAAAATGGAGAGTACTTTTTATATAAAAATACTCTGGTGGGTTTGGAAACCCACCACGAAAGAGGCTTCAACTAACTGAGCTATTAAAAATTATGACAGACTTGTCGTGCATGCTTGCATTTTTTTTTATTACCTTCCTAAGTGAAAGGAGATTCACCGGTGCGTGTACAAGCGTAAAATTAATTTGTATTTGCTACCGGCATCTCAGATTCTTGACTTACGATAGCTTGTCTAATAAATGCAAAAATATCCCCGTTTGTTCCGTCGGGAGTCGCCAATGTGAAGAAAAATAATTGTTCTCGTAACGAACTTTCTTACATCCAGGTCGACAACCTTTATCATTTTAGAATCTAAAATAAAAAGCGAGTGTTATTAAGAGCTACACCACCGTAACTCGAATTAAGCGATGGAGAAGCGATATTGACTTTGACGAAGTAAAAATTTTCTCGCATATTCTACATTTTAAAAGCGCTTCCTAAAAAAGTGCTACATTTCGAAAGAAGTGAGCCGCATTTTAAATATATGAACTAATAAAAGCATAATCTATTTTCGAAAAGAGGCGTCAAATTTGAGAAAATTCTTGTACCAGCAGCGAACTCTATACTGGAACACCTACTGCCGTGTTAAGAAGATGGATAGAGTGAGTCAGATAGGTGCACCATCTTTCTAGTAGTTGTGATTGGTCAACGAGTTTTCATCTCACCTTAGTGAAATAATGAGATAGAAAATCGTTGACCGATCAGAACTAGAAAGAAATGCAGATGGAACCCACCGAGGGGTAAACCGCTGAGGGCATTGTGGTATATTTGCGGCATTACTAGGCACTTTTTGAGCATTAGGCTTTACTGGGGCATTATAAAGATATAAAAAAATAACATAAGATAAAGTAACGCCCACTGGGCATTGATAGGCATTGGTGTACACGATTTTGGTCAGCGGTTTGCCCACTTGTCCGTCCCTCTCTGTCCATCTTTTCTTATTTGAGTAGATACTTCAGCATAGTATAAAGTTCACTGTGTACTAGTCTCAACTGTTTCATAATATTAGACATTTGTATCGACGAACACGAAGTTTTTACCCGAACGAAAATTTTTGAAATTTGCTTAAAGAAATAAAGAATTAATTTAGATGTAAGCATCCATGGCGGAATATTATATAAAATATACGTGTTTCCATACGCGAGCATTTCTAGAAAAAATGATTACGTTGTACGCGACGACAATCGACTGCGGCAATAGGAAGACGGGGATTTACGGCGGTATTGCGAAAGACAGCTGATGACAGTAAATATCAATTCGAGGCATCGTTTGTCGCGTCCACTCGACGTCGACGCGTCGCGTTTGCTCGGACATTTCCTACCTCGGGCTTTCGTAAGCAGGCGGGAGCATACAACCTGGTTTCTGGCCAGAGAAAGTCGCCGTTTCCTAGTGTGGCGACGACAAAACCGCTTAGGACGACGATCCGCGAGGGAGGGATGGGATAAAAACTCGCGCCGGGCGTTTAAGGAAGGGCTTCGCGATTGCATAACGTTCTTAACGCGTTCGACATTACGTGACGTTGGATGGACTCGGAATACTACGTGAACGACGCAACGTGAACGGCAAGTGCTGCTTTAATTGAACGGCGATGTAAGCGACGCGGCTATTTTCACTTGGTTTGACGACATTTAGCTCCTAAAGATTCAACCGTGAAATAAGAAATTGAGAACGCACAATCATTTTCATAAACGTAGCTACGTTGCGAATTAATGTGTCGAGAGCGCAGCTGTTGCTGAATGAAATCGATTAGTACGGTCACGAACAATCACGCGGCCGAATATTGCATATAATGCAAAGATTTCACGGCATTGTATTGCAATCTTACTACATGGCGGCACGCTTTTATTCAATTCATTATGATATCGGTTGCATTGATCATTAATAATGACTCATTTTTCATTCTAAATTCGCATAAGAAGCTAATTAAAAAATGTGAAACTCTGTAATGAACGAGTAATAGTATAATGAACATTTTAGTTTTTCACAAATTTGCATTGTCAGTTACTTAAGGAGAAAATTTATCTCCTAGTTAAAACAACGACGCTATAAAATAACTTAGAGGCAAAATTCCCTTGAATTCTTGTTGAAATCTTACGCTATCGTAAATCTCTACAATGTATTCTTTCACAGAGATCGTCTCGCGAAAGTGAACAGTCACAGTGTAACGGTGATAGCTCGTCAATATTTTTGCCTGGTTCTTTGTTGTCGCGTGAAAGTATAACATTTTTATTTCTTACACAATAATTAAGAGGCCATTCTCTTCCTTTCAACGTCGTATTTGGCGTAACATCATTCGTGCAATTTTTATCACGTCATTTTACGCACTGCACTATATTCGGATACTCGCTGCGATATTCGTACATCGTGAAAAACAAGCGACAAAATGAGTTTCCCATTTGTCCTGTATACATCGTGCATTCACAGTCCGAAGAGATCAATCGTGCGGTCGTTATGTCTAACGATTCTTTAGATGGGAGTGGTCTTGCCGAGCTACTGGTCGGGATGCTAGTTGTACCTGCGCGCATACCGGTGGATCTAGTATTCACCATAAATTTAGCAAACGACTTGTATAAGAAACCTGGTATAAAAGAAGTGTCAACCCCTTGAACGCTATCAGTTTGTGCGCACCACTCTTAACATGAAGCTGCTGGTAAGCACATTTAATTCGTGTACAATGCAGTCGAAAGTCATTTTTCCCCCGGTAATTCGATTGCGCGAGACGTAGACATAGTAAATATAGACTGAGCGTCCCGTTGAATAAGCTGAAGCTTGTGAAGAGAGAGACAGAGAAGACTTAAGAAGACTTTCTCTCTCTGTCGCACCATCGTGACAAAGGAGGCGCAGGCACGATTCTTTTACGATTTCTCTCTCACTCTCCACAAGCTTCAGCTTATTCAATCTGACGCTCAGTCTACATTTACTATGGCGCGAGATAACACCTTCGATATCATCGAGCTTATCGTTCTTTTATGCTCGTAAAATTATTTTCAATGAGACATGACTAAAATTTACACATTTCGGAGAATACGTGTACTTAGATACACATATACGTATACAAATTTACGAAGAGCGCAATATATTGTACTTTGTGTTATAAAAAGATAGTGGAGGAAAGTCCCCTATTATGAGACAGGCTTCTAACACGAGATAGTAGGCTTTCAACATCCAAATTCAATCGCAAATCTTTTCTCGCAACGTTGACACGAACCAACAACGAATTTTCCACTAAACACATTTCACTGCAAGGGCAATAAATTCACGGTGGAGCCAACAGACGATGTCTACTGATTTAGCAGAAACCCTGCTATCTCATATTAAGAGCTTGTCTCATAACAGGGGACGCTTCTAATAATTAATTTCGCAAATCTGCTTTGCTCGTAACAAATTTTAATAAAATTTCGATTCGGTCGAAAACAAATGCTATCTTTGATTGGATTCTTTACGTCACACTATTGTAGTTACTGTATCACTGATCGCGATAGATTTTAAACAACAAAACGACCGTCCAGCTTGGAATGTCTCACGCGGTCGCAAGTCGTTCGCTAATTATGGTGATTCACAGTCGCACTGTCACACGATTGTTTTAGCTTTTGTTGTCGTTGATCATTCTCGTCTCCGGAGACGAGAGCCTCGTCGCCGGAGGCACAGCCGACGGCAGTGGCGTGCCATCGCAGGTGACCACTGTTCTACAAGCTCAACCGAGCGCCCAGGAGGTCACGGGAGAAAAGAGACTGGGGAAGAGAAGCTACAGCTTGCTCTCCGTGCCCTACGCGAGCACTTACACTCCCGCGCTGCCGTGGTAAATAGTACAGATAAATATCTTGTCAACGGCGCGAATGTAAAAATCTCGAGGCAGCCATTTGGCGCTGACAGCTGATTTATGCGTTCAATTTCTCAGGTATCGATTGGGCGGATTGAGTAGCTACGGATTGTACGGCTACGGTTGGTATCCGGGCTGGCCGTTGTCGTACGGTGGTTGGCACGGTGGTTGGTACAAAGGGTGGTAAATTTCGAGATTGAGGCGACTGTCGCTAGGAAAGTACGCATTCCGATTTCTTGGCACTTTTTTTAACATTCCATAATTTGCGAGTGTCACAGTTCGCGTGACCCGTAATTTGTCAACACGTCGGAGGAAGCGACGCGTGACGAGAGAGAAAGAGAGAGAGACGCGTTTACTTAAAATTTAGATTCTATAATAATTAAGGAGTTTGGTTGAAGAACGAATTAAGTCGACTCAAGCTGTCTCTTCGTATTCTATAAAAGGTAAGCTTCGCAATTGTATTCGACAGATGAATTTTTATAAAAGGTGCACTTGGAATCTTACAGTTTGGTCAATAAATACGTAAGTTTTCAATTTCGGAGCTTTGAGTGTAAAATTTTTAAACGAAACCTTAAGCTGATCTAAGTGTCTTTCCATTAAACTCCTCAATTGTTAGTGGGTATTGTGGAGATTTCGCACTGGCGGTGCCAGTTACTTGTAATCGCGTGTTAATTATAAGACAACGCTCGATCACTCGCAAACAGTAGAAACGTTAAAACTAAATAAAGACTTAAAAAGAAGGCCAAGTTGTATTGTGCGCATACCTTCAATCGTTTTTCTATGTAAGTCGCCAATATTTCCTCACATGTGGTTAGATTCTTGTCCGTGTCCTATGTAAACAAACCAAGCAAAATCCCTTTTTAAGATCGTGGACAAAATAACTAGTTTTACAAATGACAAAGAAAAATCTAATTTCTTTAGTCATTTGTCATTTCTATAGATAGACCTTTAGTATGCATGTCAGTTCTTTGATCTTTTGTAACTTGACTTGCTCGTGGTTGACGGTCCGTGGAACGTTGCACATCCGGTGAGATCCGTACATTTCAAGACGCGAGACAGGTAGTCCGACGGTGCTTAATGGTTTTAGAAGTGCATGTCACTTGTTCGCAACAGTACGTATTCTCATGCGCGAGCTACGCAGAGGGTTGCTTAGGAACGAGACAGCAACAAATATTATCGGCTTTCCAATTAGGATACTTTTTATGTTTCGCATTTCAATTTCTCACGCTCCACCCTGGCGAGTAATAACTTTATCGCAACGTGCGTCCGAAGGATTGTAATTTTTTTAATTCACTTTTCGTTGTTAAACTATATATCATCGGCTGATCCGAGAGTTTCTGTCTGCAATGTTGTCATCTACAGCGAATACTGCGATCCTCCACCCGGTGGATAAGTCGTCCCCCTCTTCCGCAGCGCGTTTATTACTTCAGCCGAGCACACGCTGTATTTTTATGATTTTTAATGGGGTAATAGAGGGGAAATAATTGAAACGTTCGAAGTGATTGAAAAATTTCAGCGAATAAAATATTTTCTTAAGTTTGCCTAGTACCGCAATGATAGTTCCCTGCGTTATCCATCTCACTGCTTGCACCCCTTCTTTGTTAGAGGGCAGCCGGGACTCACGTAAAATCGATTCTGCCCCTTTTCCGCAGGGATGGATCCGCGTAGTTATTTGGCAAACCCACGGACCCGATATATTGCGATATATTCACGTACATTTGTATATTATATACATTCATATATACACAATTTAATAATGCTATAAACCTTCGAGGAAAAATGAAAACAAGATATAATCTAAGCTAAAAATAATAGAAATAGGAATAGGATTCTTATACATATATTTATTATAATTTATAGGATACACAGTCAGTTTTGTTTGTATCTTTTAATAAAAAAAACGTCTCTGCTACTGGTGCAATGACGTAATATAATCGTCAAAATGTCGTTAACGAGATGAATATTCAAGCGCATTTGATTACAGATATATTCTTACTGGAAATTAATTCAATTTAATTATTGAGATTGAATTTAATTAGATATAAAGTTCTTTAGGACGTTGCACAACACAATCAAGATCTCTTTTATTACCTATGAAGCAACAATTATATCTAACGAATCTTGGTCAGAATAGGAATTAATATTTGTTCTTGTTAGAAGTTAATTACATTTGTTTTAAAAAAATGCCAGTTTGCACTTTTAAAATACTACAACGTAAAGGGGATCGTACTCAAAGCTCACCGCGCGAAAGTCAAAGATCAACTGAATGCATACTTTGCGGTTGCGCGTTTATTGGCTCCATTGTGAACAGTGACAGAAAGAGGGAAGAGCGGCAGCATCTCCCTCCGGATGGACCAGTTCTATTATCCTCCGCGACTGACCGCAAAAAATCAGAAAATAAGAGTCAAAGGCTAACTGGGTGCGTTTTGTGGAACGGTGTTTGTGTACGTTCGAGTGGACAGTGGTCATTGTTCCGGGGGGCAGCATCCCTCGCTGGCTGGACCAGTTTTCCGTGCGGGCACGAGCCCGCGATGATGAGTCAAGAATAACCCGAAACAGGACCTCTCGTTACGCGAGCGAACAGGTTTCGTCGAACGGGCGGCCACGAGGCGCGCACAGTCCGTCGGGGAAAACAGCTCGTGATCTGCATCAAGTGAAAACTGGTCCACAGTTCAGGCCCCCCGGCTCAGCAGCTCCGGTGTTGTTCACGTGCGATCTGGCCGAGATCAGAGATCAGACTCTCAAGAAAAGCAACGAGCTCCAAATACGAGAGTGGGAACAGGTTCCGCTGAATAAACGGGATCACGATCTTCAACCGCGCATCGGAAATGTAGAGCAGGTGGAATATTTAGATCTGCGAGCGTGTTACGGGAAAAAATTTCTTCGTTACATTAATGATGAAGTAATAGACTTGTTTGAAAAAGTGATCGATTTGACCGCGCGCGAACTTGCGTCCGTTAATTTGAACGAGACGTGAAGGTATGAGGCGTAAAATATAAATGTGCATTAAATATATTGTTGTCTTGGAAAATGACGTAAACAAAAGTTGAAAGATATAATTAAAATTGTTTTTTTTACAAAGCGTTGCATCGTGTTACGACTTCGATTATTTAAACTCACTATTTTAACATGTGAATTATATTGAAATCAAGACACGCGTTTACGACAATGGAGTAATACTACATGTCTGGAAAATAACGCCACTTAAAACGTCGCCTTAAATTTTACTAAACAATTAATTAGCCGACTTCGACAAACGCGTAATTAGGAAGCGAAAATTACTAACGGAACCGCCAATTTTGATCTGCTTATTAAGAGCATCCGCCATCGCAGAATCTTGTATTATATTTTTCGAAGAGAGCACTGCCGTCGAGCGTCAAATAAAGAATACGATAAAAGGGATTGTACGCCGAGCCTAGGGACAAAGAACACGCGGTACTCAATCAAAAGGACGCGAAAACAAAGGCCGATGACGTGTGTGTCACATGAGACGTCGAAACCAGCCCACATTGGCCACTTCTTTCACCTGTCCATCACTCCCTGTCCTCTAAAGAGGACGCTTCTGAAAGAGGACATTTGCGTTTCCGCGCTCGTACCAGCCATTGTACGCCTTTATCGGCCGTTTCATGCTCTTCTCCGTTGGCAGTTCGCTTCACTGGCGACCGTGCGTTAGGGAATGCATATCTGACGTGGGAGACGAAATAATTGTACGCTGTACCTTCGGCTGTAATCGGACTTGGCGCTATCGACCCGCAGCAGCGACCTCTTATCGATATTTTTATTTTATGGATATTAAAAGACGAAAAATTACAAAGGATATCCGTTCGCAAGTCTCCTTAAAGTCCCTCCGTTTTAATTTCAAAGTTCACCCTTTATTACTTGCTACCGTTTTAAAGTTTCACTTTTAATAACATTGTGCATTTTTACTCAGCTACGAATGTTAAATTTGCCCTGCTAATTCGTATTATAAATAAATGAATTGAACCTCTAATTAATTCGCATTAGCGGGACGTCTTATCGTTCAAGATTATATACGTTGGGGGGGAGAGCGAATTTGTAGAATGCGTAAGTTTGACATGACGACCGGCTTAATGAGGGATGCTGGTAGAGTGGCTGGTAAATATGAGCGGTAGAAAGAATAGTGCAGGAAACTTCCTCTGTCGAGTTAATTTCAGCTTCGGCTACGAGAACCTGTTTCCCGCGGGGGGGCCATGAAAGGGTCTCGCTACCTACACAGCACATTACCTCCATTCGTATCGGTAACGAGGTCGACTTTACTCCGCAGCACTCTTCCTCCGGGACGGGGGGGGGGAGGGGGGTGGGCGAGGGGGTCATAGACGCGCGCGTGGTATTACCGGGACACCCCGTACATAGGGAGGGCGTATTTGTTTTACTGCCTGGCTGCCGGCATTGGTTGAGAACGTGCTCCGCATTCTTGAAATCGTGCCACCCTTGTTACGGCATAGACTCTCCACCATCGTTTCCCTTCGCCCCTTCACCTCGCCATCAAACCCGGCTCTTTTCCTCGTCGCCGCGACCATCATAAGAAGGATCGTTGTCGATCCGCCTCCCCCCCCCCTCCCACCCCCTCCTCCCTCTCGTACGTCCTCCCTCGTGCGATCGTAAAAAATTCTTAACTCCTGTAGTAGTCTCTGCAATATGCATATAAGTGCGCTATACAGAACATGCTCTACAAGATGTTTTTCAAACCGAGGGGCATCCGTCCGTTCGCCGAATGCAACAAGATGGTCTTATAAATGTAAATATTAGGATAAAAGCAAAATTCTCTATTATTTTCGAAAACTGGCCAGTAAACTCTGAAGTTATTCATCATTTACTACGTTATGACATAATGACGATAATATATCCCTTTCAAAGGACCTGGAGTACATCTGGGATTCTAGGAGATACACTTTCGCACTTGGCGTTGTAATCGTTAATAAGAAAAAGTGGTTGAAACCGGGCCATTAATCTTACAGTCTTTGCCGCTGTCAGGATCAGCATTAAAACGGGAAGATTGTCTCTTCGTCCCTTTCTTCGATGAGACTATAAAAATTTTTAACTCCTGCAATGGACACGAAGTGCTTCTGCAAAGACAGTGGAATACATTTTTCTGATTCGCGAAGGAAAATTTACTGCACTCGCTACTCTTGCAAAATAGTCCTTCTAATCTAATTGCGGTGGTTAATAAATGATTGGAAAGTATATTTATTTATTACTATATACTCAGTTTAGATACAATTGTGCAGTTCAATCA